ATTTGACCTCAAAGCAAGGGAAGTAAAGGCAAAAAGTAAATAAATGAGACTACATCAAACTGAAAAGCTTCTGCACAGCAAAAGAAACCAACAATAGAACAAAAGGTAACCAGCCAAATACAAGATGACATTTATAAGCAACAGCTCTGACAAAAGGTCAATATCTAAAATATATAAAGAACTCATAAAACTCAACACCAAACAATCTAATAAAACATATTGGCATAGGATCTGAACAGACAGCTCCCCCAAGAAGACACACAAACGGCCAACTTCACGAGCTATTAGGGAAATGCAAATCAAAACTACAGTGAGATACCACCTCATACCTGGTTTTTTTAAATTCTCACCCAAGGACACTTTTTCCACTTTTGTTCAGATAGAGTGGGAGGGAGAGAGAGAGAAACATCGACGTGACAGGGACACATCGAGTGGCTGCCTCCCACACGACCCCAGCTAGGGCCAGGGACGAATCACAACTGAGGTACATGCCCTTGACCGGAATCGAACTTGCCGCTCACTGGTCTGTGGGCCGATGCTCTAACCACTGAGCAAAACCGGCCAGGGCCTCACACCATTTTGAATGGCTATTATCAACAAGACAAGTAACAATAAGTGTTGGAGAGGTTGTGGAGAAAAGGGAACCCTTGTTCACTGCTGGTAGGAATGTAATCTGGTACAGCCGTTATGGAAAACGGTATGGCAGTTCCTAAAAATATTAAGAATAGAATTACCATGTGACCCAGAAATCCCTCTCCTGGGTATCTACCTGGAAAACTCAAAAACATTTATTCACAATGACATATGCACCCCTATGTTTATTGCAGCATTATTCACAGTGATCAAGACATGGAGACAACCCAAGTGTCCTTCAGTAGAGGACTGGATAAAGAAGATGTGGTACATATATACCATGGAATACTACTCAGCCATAAGAAAAGATGAAATACTGCCATTTGCTACAAAATGGATGGACCTTGAGAATATTATGTTAAGTGAAATAAGTCAGTTTGAAAAAGCCAAGAACCATATGATTTCACTCATAGATGGGATATAAAACTGAAACTCATAGACACAGACAGAAATATGGTGGTTACCAGAGGGCAGGTGATGGGGCTAGTAAAAGGGAAAGGGGCCGAATATATGGTGATGGAAGAAGATTTGACTTTGAGTGATGGGCACACAGTGCAAAATACAGAGCATGGATTGTAGAAAGTTACACTTGAAACCTGTATGATCCTACTAACCAATGTCACCACAATAAATTTAATTAAAGAAAAGACATATGATGCAAGGAGGAAGGAGAGATTTAGGGGAATTGATGAGTTCACGTTTGAACTTTCTGAGTTCGAGATGCCTCCAGCGTCTAAGCCCAAGCAGAGAGGTCCAGCGGGCAAACGAGCAGGGGGCCCTGGAGTTCAGAGAGAGTCAGGCACAAGGTTACAGGTTTGGGATTCATCCGCCTGTGGATGGTGCCAGAAACCATGAGATACCGTCCTGCCTCCTAGGGAGAGTACATGGAGTAATAAGGACAGTAGGCCCCACCGTCATTCTCAAGGACAGCTGGAGGGAGAGGGGAGGGAAGGACAGAGTAGGTGCGTATGAATGGGTGGAAGAGAATCAGGAACATTTTGGTGCGGGGCAGTCACCAAACGAGACAAACAACCCGGTGACAAGGGCCCAGGAAAAGTTCCCGGTAGACTTGCCTAGGAGGTGTGCCTAGCAGGGCAGTTTTACTTAACGGTTCAGATCGGAATGGAGATGTCACAAGCAGCGTGGGGGGACTGACTTTGAAAAGAAGGAAGATCAACTCATCAGCAGTTGGGCGAGGACAGGAGGGAGGTGGCTGTTTGTACGTTTACAGGGGAAGGAGCCACAAAGCAGTAAAGCAGGAGCGGGAGCCTACATTTTCTTGACTTAGGATGCCGACGCCTCCTGAGAAGGGGAACAGGACAGTGCGTGGGTAGTGAGACTGTTTACAAAGATGGAGAAGGTTGAGAGTGGCCACTGGGGAGAGGGGGTTAGGACCTGTCCGAATGGATGGGTCAGTGGGCTGTTCTGTGGGCCCAGATGAATCTCAGAATCCTGGATTTCGGGGATTTTTCTCCAGACGCGCTGTGTCCGGGTGGAAGTTTTGCTAGAAGATGTCCCCCTGCCAGGATCCCCGTGCTGCCCCCTCCAGCAGCCCTGGCTCTTCAGACTCTAGAGTAACAGACGAGGCCATTTGTTCCGCAGGAGCTTTGGCTCGTCTATCCCCTGCACGGCCTGTTCCACACCACGGAAGCCAGTCCAGACCTGGAGCTCAGAAGCCCGACATGCTCCGCCTCTGCTCAGCATCCCACCTCCCCACCTCTGGGGCAGCCCACAGAGCGAAAGAGATGGGGAGGGGATGCTTATTTGTCCAGGGCTTTGTCTCTCCATTGCATTCCGTAATTCACTGTCGCCAAGTGCACCTTCCCAGACTCCTCCGTACTGAAGATCGGAAGTGGGGTAGAGTCTGTGGGCCCCAACAGGGGAGCCCCGGGTTATCCCCCCGCCGGACTGGCTGCCAGCCGAGAGGCGCCCGGCCAGAAGAAGTCCTCTGAGGAGATTAGCGAGGAACACCAGGTACAGCTGGAAATCTGTTACGCAAATACATGCCTGTTTGATTTCCTCCACTTCTCTTTGGCAAGTAAGCTTACTTTTGATCAGTGTTTGGTTTCTGCTTCATCAGCTGATTGTGCGGATTGAATGTGAGAAGACCCTCACGCCCGGTGTGTCCAGCATCCCGGATGTACAGCTGTCCCCCTTACTCACGGTTTGGCTCTCCAGGGCTGCAGTTACCTGCAGCTAAACACAGTCCAAAACTACTGAAAGGAAAATTCCAGAAATAAACAATTCATAGGTTCTGCACCATTCTGAGTGGTGTAATGAAATCTCATAGCACCCCATTTTGGCTCACTCAGGACGTGAATCACCCCTGGGTCCGGCGTCTCCACACTGTACAGACTGCCCACCTGTTAATCACTCAGTAGCCGCCTCAGTTATCAAACTGATATGACAGCATCACAAGTCACCCTTCTTTGACTTAACAATGGCCCCGGGGCCAGGGTATGATGTTGGCAGACCAGTGTGCCAGAGAGAGCCCTGCAGGGCCCACGGTGAAAAGGCAGATGCTCTTGACTTCACGAGGAAGAAAACGATGTGTGTGCTGAAGTCGCTTAGGTCCGCAGTGAGACCGAATCTTCTGTCCGTGACGCTGCGAAGAAGGAAAAAGAAATGTGTGCCAGTTTCTCTGTCACACCTCACACTGAAAATGTACGGCCACCATGTGTGGGAAGTGCCTAGTTAAGAAGGAAAAGGCGTTCCGTTTGTGGGAAGAGGACATGCCATCCTCGTGGCTCAAACATCCTCCTTCTGACGCCGTCAGGAGGCCACCACAGCCTGAGGTCACGGAGCCCAGTCGCTCCCTCGGGTCCTTGCGTCTCCCAGCCGGGCGAGTCCTGCAGCCCGGGGCCGTGTGAGCAGCGCACACCCTCACCTGCCATCAGCGTGCCGTCCGAACTGTCCCGTGGCATCGCTCGTAGCACATCGATCCCTGTGCTCATTTATGAATCAGACTTTATCGTGTGTGTGTGTCTGTGGCTTCAGGTACCCACTGGGGTCTAGGGTCACGTTCCCTGCAGACAGGGGGAGGCTGCATTGCTATTGCTGATACAGAAGTAGCTGCCTGAAGTGTTTACACTGCGGAGGGAAACTGGCCAAGGGCCTTTCTTTCATCATCTCTTGTGATAAACCGTCTTTTGCCTGCAGCCAACAAGTCTGGGGCTGCTCCAGCGGCCGCAGCACCAATGGTGAGGAGCCACATGGCTGGAGCATTGCCATAAAAGGACGACCCGGCGGCCCGTGCTCCACGGCCACCGGAGCTCTGTGTTCTCACCGAGGTAAGTCCTGCTGCAGCTCCGCCAGCCTTCCCGGGGTCTGGGGGCTCCCCACGCCCTGCACCCACTGGACTTGCTAGTGTCCTTTGCTTCTGGGACCTTGCAGAGCTCAGCAGGGAGTCTGGGCCCTGGCCCTTGTCCAGCGCTCTGAATGTCCCTCGGACGGTCCCGAGTGCCCCATGGCACGTCCACGGCACCCCTCCTAGGATCGGTGTCGGTCTTGAGCCGAGCCTCCCAGAGGCTTCAGCAGCCACCTGGAGGTTTCCCATTCGAGGGAAGGGTTTCTCCAAACACAGAGTGGTATTAATTTGAGTGTTGGTAAGCTCTTCACAGAGGTGTGCTTCTACCCACCACCCCATTGCTCTATACATTCCTCTTCAAACCTTCCCTGAGCACCCCTGGGTGCCAGACCCTGTGTTAAGAGCAAGTGATGGACTGTCTGACCTGGTCCCACCTTCACAGAGATCCTCACTCACGGAGGGCACGTCCGGGGCTCTTAGCACAGTGCCGGGCACACACAGCCCCAGAGAGCAGCTGTTACCTCTCCTCTCTCCAGTTTTCAAGGTCCTCCACCTGAGTAGGAACCGACCTGAGACCTTCCAGGGCCTTCTCGGGAGCCAGCTGGCTCGGAGCTGGCCTTGGCTTTCTTGCTGTCCCCTCATCCTCTTGGCAAGTCTCCTCTTCCTTTTGTCCCATCTCCTCTCTGCAGGTCACGCCTGCTTTCAAACAATGCAGCCCTTCATGACGGAGCTCCTTGTACACGTCTGTGGCTTTAAGCAAACTAGCTCACTTCCTGTCCAGTATTTGCCCACAGGAGGGGCTCAGTGAATATTTCTGAGATCGATGTTCTGAGTCTCAGTTCCTGCATATGTAAAGTAGAAGCAGTGACAGTATCTTTCTTGGAGGGTGGCTCAGAGCTTTAAATGATCTAAGGTATGCAAGGGACCTGAACAGGTCAAGGTGCCTCACTGAGGTGAGTCCCCTCCGTGCCCTCACACCAGAGGAAGGGCACTGTGGCTCTGACCCACACCTGGTCTTTCCCTTCCCCTAGCTGCGTGGAAAGTCTGCCTCTGAGTGGTCTGCATGTCTCAGCTAAAGGAAAGGATGCTGAGCTCGTATGCCCTATGGCTGGCCGCAGCCTCCTGCATTCTGACCCTGGCTTCTGCAGAGCAGCAAGGTGAGTGCCCTGCTCACCGGCCTCAGGTGCCCACCAGACCTGGGCAGTGAGCAGGGACGGGCGGAGACGGCGTTCTGAGTCAGTGGGAGGACCCGGACTTGGGAGCTAACGTTCAGATATGGGCAGACCAGAGAGCCTGCATTGATGGGGACATGAACCACACGGTCACCTTGTGCCTGGTTTTGGCCAGTGCCTTCTCTGGCCTCCACCTACTTGCGCACCTGTGAAGTGTGAGGGCCACATTTGGTGATCTCCTGCGGTTCTTCAACAAATCGACGTCTTGTGCATCTCAGAGGTTGTAGGAAGGGTCTCAGGGCTAATACTGGGGTGGAAATGTTTGCATGCATCTCCTGTGGAGGCACGGGGTGGGGCGGAGGGGAGGAGGGGCTCAGTTCATGACGTCCCTTGGGAAAATCCAGTGTGCGCAGGAAATTATCCAAGAATAACAACTGTAGAGACTCCTTTCTTGAAAATAAGCAAGTACAGAAGCGAGGGTGGACAATCCTGTCCCCGAACGCCCTCCAGTGTGCATCATAAGCGTGCTATCTTGGGTGCACACTTGGCCCGTCCTTCGGGCACTCTCACATTCAACAAATCAGAGCTAGAGAAGAGAACTGACTGTCCGCTAGGACCCAGGTGCTGTGCTCGGCGTCTCGCACCTGTTATTTCATTCAATTCTCTAACACGCCTTTAGGGCTTTATCTTCCTGAATGGGGCACAGATGCCCCAAGGTGACAGTGGGGATGCATAGCAGACTCTTAAAGAACTTTTGGTGACTCTATATTCTCTATACGTATTAAACAAATATAACTAGTACATCATATCTATGGCATTATAGATATTGTTCCTTGGGATGAAATGAATTTATAAAGAAAAGTATTGAGCCTGGCTAGTGTGGCTCAGTGATTGAGTGCTGACCCTGCACCAAGAGGCCGCTGGTTTGATTCCCGGTCAGGGCACATGCCCAGATTGTGGGCCTGATCCCCAGTGGGGGGCATGCAGGGGGCGGCCAACCGACGTTCTCTCTCATCGATGTTTCCCTTTTTCTCTCCTTCTCACTCTAAAACTAATAAAGAAAAAGGGATTAAAAAGAAAATCATTGAAAAAAAAAACATGAAGTAAACAATAAGACAAGCAGAACAGAGGGCTGGGAGTGGGTGAAGTTTGGGAACCACTAGCTCACAGGTGTTGTTTTGCAAATGAGTTTCAGGGAGTTGAACCACCCAGTCAAGGTCACCAGGCCCGCAGGTGTGGAGCTGGAGTTAAACCCAGACTGACTGGTCTGCAGTCCCCTCCCCTTCACTCTGCTCCTCACACGCACAGTCCCTGAGCCTGGTAAAGACCTGAGATCAATGATCAGAAATGGTCCTGTCACATCAGTGGTTCAGAATTGGGGGTGAGTTTGTCCTGCAGGGACATTGGGCAATGTTGGAGGCAACTGGAGAAGGGGTGCTGCTGGCATCTGGAGAGCAGAGCTCAGGGAGGCTGCTAAGCACCCTCCAGTGAGCGGGACGGCCCCACAGCACACTGCCCAGCCCAGACATGTGCCGTGTCGGCTGAGAGCTGGGTCTGCTGGCGTGGGAGCGTCTCTGTGACACGTGAAGAAAAAAATGTAAGTGGGGACAAAGCTGTACTGCATTCAACCTGTTTTAAAAACTATATTTTAAACCTGTGCATAGAAAGGGCCTACAACACACATGGTTACTTCTGAGGGTGCAATGAGCTTTTGAGAACTTTCAGTTCTTTCTTCCTTACTTCAATGGCATTTGAGCTGTTTCCAATAAGTCTGTATTACATGGATAATGAGGAAAGCAAATATTGGTCAGACAGGACCACAGCGTGGAACGGAACAGGGAGCCCTGCCCAACTCCAGCGGGGCCACCAAGCCAAGATGCAGGGCGGAGATCCGATGCTCTCTGTTAAACATTTTTAATGTTGACATGATTTCAGGTGTCCCTCTTTTTATCCCTCTGCCCACCTGCACCCGCTGCCCCTCCCTTGGAGCTCCCCAGACTGTTGTCCAAGCCCACGGGTCATGCATGTGTGTTCTTTAACTGACCCCTTCACCTTCTTTGCCTATAAAATACTGCAAAATAGCCTCATTGTTGTTTGACCCAAGGTGCTGAGGGCTGATGTTGAATGATGGGGATGCGCCTCATCAGGTCCTTAGCACACCCAGACGGATGGCTGGGGACCAGGCTCTGGAGACTCCGGGCTGCTCAGTAAAGCCCAGGCACACTTGCTTTCCAGGTTACGGAAACCCCGACAACGTCACCTCCTATGGCTCCGAGCTGCTGTGTGGAGCTCCCGGGGCCCCGGAGCCCCCGCTCTGCTTGGACCCCTGCCAGAATCACACCCGCCTGGACGACCCCTCCCGAAGCATAGAGAACACAGAAAAACCCTCTAAGTGTGACAGGGACCTGCTCGGTTGGTTCCGCTTTGTGGGACAAGGAGGAACGAGGATGCCGGAGACCTGCGTCCCAGTGAGCAGATGCCAGACTGACGCCCCCATGTGGCTGGAGGGGGGCCACCCCATCCTTGGGGAGGGCGCTGTGACCCGCTCTGCTTGTGCCCACTGGTCGGGCAACTGCTGCTACTGGAACACTCCGGTTCAGGTGATGGCCTGCCCGGGTGGGTACCACGTGTACCGGCTGAAGGGCAGCCCTTCCTGTAACCTGAGATATTGCACAGGTGAGTGGCAGAGACCTGGGGGACAGCTGCGGGGCAGGGCCTGGGAGTCAGGAGAGTGAGGGGAGTGGGTCGGAGGAGACAGCAGAACTGCCTTCACCCAGCTCCTGCCTGTTACTGCCCAAGGGTTACCGGGTCCTCCAACGTCTCAAGTAAAACCAGAAATTCAAATTCCAGGGTGAAATCGCCTGATACTTGCAGGTTTCCCCTGAAATCCCAGCGTCAAGGGTTCCTATGAACCCTTTCATAAGCTGAAATGAGGTGATGCAAGGAAGCAATGACCATGAATTTACATGGAAACATTTCGGAGCATTCTCAGCAACCTCAAAATCACCCCCCGAACCACACTACACAGGCTCGATTACGTCCAGCTTTACGCAAAGTACGACACACTCCCAGGCCCTCTCAGGCTTCCCAGACCCCTTCAGACACGTTGCCACCAGGTTCACAGAATAAGTGGACAGAACCAGATGCTCACAGACACAGTTCAAAGCCCAGGTGACTGGATGCTGAGCGGCGGGTGTGGTTTCTGGGGAGGGCGATTTGTGGGGCCCTCTGCCCGCTGCCGTGATAGGGGCCACTGCAAAGCAAACACTGACCGCTATTTTAGATATTGTGAAAGAAATCTTTCTTCCCATAAGCAGAAACAGGTGCCAATGAAGGTCTTTTGAGAGAGTGACAGGAGCTGGATTTCGAATGTGGGGAGACCTGCCCGCCCCCATGTGTGCAGTGTAACAGGAAGAACGCAGCCTCCTTTGGGTGTAGGTGCCATTTGGGCAGCCAGTTAGGCTGCCCTGAGCTTCCATCTTCTGATCTGAAACAAATCGACAACGGCAGAAACAACAATGAACGTGCAGTGTTTGTCCGTCCTCGCCCCTTCCTCAGCACTCCAGTAGCTCGAACCCGCTCAGCAGCCGCACGGGATACATATTACATACTCGCCCGATGGCGGGTCTGGGGCACAAAGAGGTTAAGTGATGCCCCCAAGATAGCCGAGCTGGGACTCGAACTGGCACTGCCCACCCCACCTGCCTCACACAGGTGCCAGGAGATCGATGTGCTAACAGGAGGCAAGTCCCCGAGCAGTGTCTGCCTTGTCGTAAGCACCGCCCTGGGCTGGGGTCAGGAAATTCAGCGTCAAGGCCGACTCTTTCACTAAGGACTGCACCACCTGGGCAGGACGTCTGTGCCCTGGCAGAGCGGCAGGCTGGCTGTGGGCCTGGGGTCCTCCCTGCTCTGCGTCCTGACTGCTCCGTGCCTTCCGCCTAGACCCGGCCACCGTGGAGAACAGGTGTGAGCAGACCTGCCGTCCGGAGGAGGAGTGCAGCTTTGTCAACGGTACCTGGGGCTGTGTCTGCAGACAGGTCCTCAATGGCTCTGGTGAGCAGCTCAGGGCCAGGGCAGGGGCCGTGCTGGGAGGGAGCCCACTGAGCAGGCACAGAGGGAAGGAGGGAGCGCAGAGGGTCAGGACGAGGTACGGACGGAGTCAGTGGGGGAGAAACCGAGGTCAGGGAATGTGAGTTCTCAGAGCCAGGGTGTTTGCGGGGATGCCACACATTTCCTGGCCCCAGGGAGCAACTCCGACCTGCGTGAGCTCGGCCGTGAGGGGCGAAGGCTCTGAGGACAAGGGCTCGGCCAGTGTGACAGCACCGTTCAAACACCAGCCATGCGCGTCGGGGACAGGGGCCTGCTCCCGTGCCTGGGTTCGCCACGAGTAGCTCTGGGGCCTGGGGCAGGTCACCTCCCTAGAGATGAGATATTAATAAAAATGTTCAGTATACAGGGCTATTGTGAGAATTAAATTAGTGTAGTCCAAATGGGCAGGCTCTGGAGGTGATGAGCTTCTCATCCCAAGAGATAAGCAAGCAGAAGCAGATGGCTCATGGGAAGGGATGCCATCCATAGACAAGTCTAACATCTAGGTCTCTAATGAGGGCCTCTGACTCTTGCCTTTGGCACAAACACCCCTTCCTCTGAGCAAACTCCCTTCCCCCGTGGAAGAGTGAGTGTTCTAAGCAGAGGGACAAGAATAAGCAGAACACATTTGGAAAACTGGGCTGCAGTGTGGGGAGGTGATGCTGTGTGTCCCTCTCTCTGCTCGCTGGGCGGTGAGAACCCAGGGGGCCAGCGTGTGGGTTTGGGCCACCACAGCATCAGGTGATGGGCTTTGTGGATGCCCTCCCTGCACCTGGATGAGTTTCCAGGGCATTGGCAGGTTCTTGGCTGACTGGGGGGCCCCTCGTGTCTTCGTCGGTGGCTGTTCAGTGGGTTTCCATGGCCTGTAGACACAACCTCTTCGTGCTATGGCTTTAGCTTGTTTCTCCGTCTCCACGACTCCCCCTCCTACTCTAAGTTCTTACATTTCTGAGCTCTGTCTCCATAAAACGCCATCCTCTCTCACACGGCCATGCTGTCTCTGCTGTTCCCTTACCCTGCGATGCCCTCGCGTGCTCCTGCCCCCAAGCTCCAGCTCCCTCCCATCCTTCTCTGACTGGCCTGCAGACTTAGCCACACCTTCCATGATTCCGTCCTCACCCAGAACATGCCTGTTTGACCTTTCACCCTGCTGCATCCTTGCAAGTGGCTGGTCTGTTAGTTTCACAGAAGACCAACGGGTCCTCAGGCTGGGCCCATGTTGTCTTTTGTGCTGTGTGCCCAGCACATGGAGGAGGTGGTCAGTACATGCGTGCTGCATTCATAAACACAGTAGAAACTTTATTTCTCTTCATTGACTTTCTCTTTCTTCTACTAGGAGTTAGCTCTTTAGGGTACGATTTCGTCAGCTTTGATCATCGTTGTGTGCATGACAGATAGAACCTCATGAAGTATTTGTTGAATACCTGTCGGATGAATGAATGAGCAAGCGAATGGGTGAACGCAGTGGTTCTGAACTAGGTCGGATGGGCTGGCTCGGCAAAGCAGGAGCTGCAAGGAGTCTCTCCAGAGACCCTAATCCCCAAGGGGCACCGGACATGGAGGCCCTGCCAAACCTGCACCTAGAATGCTCGACAACCTCAGACCACGGGCTTCTAGGCCAACCTTGCCTACTGCAGGCCTGGGCATGAACCTTCCTCGCCTCGGCCCTCTGGTTAGGTCGTGCCTAACTTCCTGGTGGGCGTGGGCTGTGCCCTCTTCCTCCAGACCCTGTCCACTGCTCAGATGCCCCTCTCGCCTTTCCAGATATCCACAGTCTGCAGCCTCAGCTGAACTGTGGGGACAGAGAGATCAAGGTATCCCTGGACAGGTGTCAGCTGGAAGGCCTGGGTTTTGGGGAGCAGGTCAGCGCCTACCTGCGGGACCAGAACTGCAGCAGCATCGTGCAGAGAGAGGAGAGGAACTGGATTTCTGTGACCAGTCCCGCTCAGGCCAGTGCCTGCGGGAACATCCTGGAGGTGAGTGGCATTCGCACTGTGCCGCCAGCGTTGGGGGTTCGGCTGCTGGGACCGTCTCAGGAGCCGTGAGGCCTTGGGCAGGTCATTTGGCCTGTTGGAGTCTCTAGAGGTGGGTGAGATTATACGTGTTGGTCATCGGTGAAGAGCTTAGAACAGGTGTGATGCTCGAGCTCAGTAAATGCAAACAGTGGTTGTGCTTATTTTAATGAGGGCTGCGGGTGGGGGTCCTAACTGGCCCACGGGCAGTGCGTGTTTGATCCAGGGCCCCCCTTCCCATCGAGGTCAGCGTCACCTTGAGGTCAGAACACAGGGGGCAGCGTGACTGAAAGCCCTGACCGGGGAGTCAGACCCGAGTTCCGGACCCACCTACACACATGTCCACATAAACATATACGTGGTCTTGTTTTTGTGCCAAAGAGAAACGAAACCCATGCCATCTACAAAAACACCCTCTCCTTGGTCAATGACTTCATCATCAGAGACACCAAACTCAACATCAACTTCCAGTGTGCCTACCCGCTGGACATGAGAGTCAGCCTCCAGACCGCCCTGCGGCCCATTGTAAGGTACGGCCCAACCTTGGTCACGCTCACTGCACGCGTGGGCCACGATTCTTCCACAGGAGGCCGCTCCATCCTTCTAACTGTTCTACAAGATTTGTGGATCACATATATTGTTCAGTGCACAAGGCAGACAAAGAGTATTTTGTGGCTGTTAAAGATTGTTATTATGAAACAATGTAGCACCATAAAACAGTGCTAATTAAATATGCTCAGGAATAAAAACATGACAATTTTCTTTATCTCGAGGAAGGCAGGCAGGCATTAAACAACTAATTACATCAGTAATCACCAGAGAGATTAGTGCAATGTAGGAGAAACATGGGGTGCTGTGGGGCCAAGAAGCAAGGGTCCCTGACCTAATTGTGGGGGATGAGGGGACGGTGGGAGAGGAAGGCTTCCCTGCAGATAGGGCATTTAAGGATCAGCTTTGACGAGATAAACACTCACCAGAGATGAAACCAAAAGCGATTTGGGTGGGTTCCGTTTGGGCAGGGTTTTGTCCGAGTCCTGTTGAATGAGTCCCTCCGCACTGTGAGACTTGCCAGGGGGTCTGAGACTGTCAGGAATCCAGGGGCCCTCCATCCCTCACTGGCTCCCGGCTCACTGAATGGCACGACTGTAAGGATCACACATGTTCTACTTACATGGTTCTTAAACCGTATTGTATTGGGGCCCAAGGTTCATAAAAAGTAGAAACTAAAACCATTCATCCTGTTAAAACTGGCATCTTACTGAAGATTTGGGGAGGACAGAAGAGAACTTCTCCTAATCATTGTGACCCCACAGACAGGGCCCGAGCCCGCTCTGCAGGTGAGAAGACAGGTGTGCCCTTGGAGAGAAGGAGACACTGTGACCTGTGGGGCAGGGAGGATTGGAGGAGCCTGGACAGGCTCATCTATTAAGTTTAGTGCCTGGAAGTTAGTAAATGCTGATGTAAATGAGTGATCGAATAGTGCCTTTAGGGATCAAACATGTGCTTTTGCCTTCATAGCCTTACACCGAAGTGGGGCTTGATGTATTTTGTTCTTATGGATCAAAACCCGACGTTTCCACTCTGTTGTCTTTCTTGCGTCAGTTCCGTGAACATCAGTCTGGCCGGGGCCGGAGAGTTCACTGTCAGGATGGCGCTCTTCCAAGACCGCAACTACACGCAGCCTTACGAAGGGGAGGCCGTGGAGCTGTCTGTGGAGTCCATGCTGTACGTGGGCGCCATCCTGGAGCGAGGGGACACCTCCAGGTTCAACCTGCTGCTGCGGAACTGCTATGCCACGCCCACGGCAGACAAGAATGACCCTGTGAGATACTTCATCATCAGAAACAGGTATCAGGCACCTGCGGGCTGGTTCGTGGCCTACATGAGGTTTGGGGAACGTGGTCACGCTGTCCCTGCCGCCTGGCTGATCTCTTTGGAAGTAATCTGACGTGACATTTCACGCCTGTGCCCTTGGACCCAGGAGCACCGCTCCTGACGGCCAGCCGAGAGCATTGCTTCAAAGTGAGTGGCCGGGTAAAGGAAAGTCAGCTCTTTTCATTGCGGTATTCTTTAAACTTGGCGACAGGATCATTGTGCAACGCGGGGCTCTCATAGGTAATGATGGAGAGCTGTCAGGACTAACTCCGCAACATGCAACTGTCACGGGACAAAATGTCATGACTGTTGTTGACCACAAGGACAGAGGGAGCATTTACACCGTGGTGCGATACTCACTCACGTCCATCGCTGAGCTGGGCTGTGTGCGGACAGTGTGCTTGGGTCATCTCTCTAAGTGTGCACATCACCCTCGCAAGTGCCCATCCCTGTCTCATCTCCACAGATGAGAAAGTGGGAAGCAGTGAGCACCCCCCATCTGCTCGTGATCAGTGAGCTGGAAGTGGGTCGGGCTGTCCCCCTCCAGACACTGAGCTCCCACACTCCACCCACATGGGCTTAGGGAGCATGTCCGTGAACCGAGGAATCAAGGCCGGTGTTGTCAGGATGGAGGAGCCTGGGGCTCTGGAACTCTCTCTGGTGCTGTTTTGACACTGGATGCAGTAAAAGATTAGTCGAGGGCCTCAGGCCCCCTGAGCGGTTCTAGAAAGGGGACCCTTGCCTCTGTCACCCCCAGCTGCCCAAATCAGCGTGACTCCACCATCCACGTGGAGGAGAACGGGGTGTCCTCCGAAGGCCGGTTCTCCGTCCAGATGTTCATGTTCGCCGGGAACCACGACCTAGTCTTCCTGCATTGTGAGGTCCGCCTCTGTCACTCCCTCAGCGAGCAGTGCCAGCCGGTGAGCGTCTCTCTGGGCTTCTCTCCAGAGTCTGACACGGGGCCGGACCTGGTGGGCTCTCCATGTCTCCGTATTGGAACTATAAATGGAGGGAAAGAAGAAGGGAGAAGGAAGGGAGGGAAGAGAAAGTTGGCTGGACGCAGAGATAGAGGGGTGGGTTCATGGGAGGGAGGAGGGAAAAGAGGAAAGAGAGAAGGACGAATGGATAGATTTTAAGCCTCCAAAAAGCCTGTGTGTACAATTCGTGTGTCCCCAGCTGAAGGGCCGTGTCCACGTGGTTTCCTTGACACAGACATATTTTAGGTGATGACACTGACAATTGCCTTTTTTAGTGCTCACTCTGTGTCAGGCACTGTGCTAAAACGCCCATGTGCCTTGTCTCATTTAATCCCCACAAAAGCCCTGTAGGTGGTTTTGTTACTGACCGATCGCACAGATGAGGAAATAGGCTCAGAGAAGTGCCTTGCCCAGGGCCACACAGCTGGAAAGTAGCAGGGCTGAGATGTGCCTGCTAACAGCTGGCGTGTGTGGGCGCTTCCTGCGTGTCTCATGTCGCAGGCCTGCTCACGTTAGCCTTGCACAGGAGGGCACTGCTCAGCAACAGAGAGGCGAGGTCGCCTGCCCCCTCGGTCAGCAAACAGAGAGAGGAGGCGGTCCTTACCCGGGTTTGCGGGGCGTGATGGTGAACGTGTCTACGATGAGGGGACCGCAGCCTGAGTGAGGGCCACACCCGACAGGCCTGGTCCTTCGCTTCGTGACGTCATGAGAACTCTCCATCCCCACAGTTCTGCTCAGGAAGCCAGCGCCGCAGTGAAGCGGTGGCGATCGACCCGGCCCTGGTGCTGGACTTGGGGCCCATCACTCGGAAAGGTAAGAGGCAAACCCAGTGGTAAGGTCCTGGCAGCTAACCGCAGCTGCCTGGGGTCACCAAGCTCACAGCGCGGAGGCTTTCTGCCTCCTCAGTCAGCCTGGCCCAGCGAGTTGTCTCTCCGCGAGGCGCCCTGGGTATGACGACAGCGTCTTCCGTGTGAGCTGGCTCCTGAGTGCTGGGGACCAGGCTACGTGCTTGGTATCCACCAACTCGATCTTTACCTGACTGCGTCCGCTTCATAGGAAACCAGAGCTCAGAGAGATTCAGTGGCTCCCCCCAACCCCCAGCTTGTGAGCGGCTGGGGTTGGACTTGAACCCAGCTTAGTCTGATTCCAAAGCATGTGTCCCTTTTCCTTGTCTCTCTTGCCAGGTCCCCACAACTCAGTCCCTTAGGGGTGAGTGCTAAGTCCTAACCCAACTTTGTTTTCTGCTGAAAGGCTGCTTCTCGAGCCCAGGCACAGTGTCTGGGGTGTGGTGTCGGGAGCCTTGCAGCTGCCCTGCACGTCTCCCCCACCCTCCCACGGGTAGCCGTGCTGTCATGGCTTCCGGAACAGAGGAGTCAAGAAGCCCAGAAGAGTGACAAGGTTTATTTTCAACCCTTACCCAAGGACATGCTTTATTGGCTTTAGAGAGAGGGGAGGGAGAGGGAGAGAGGAACATTGATGTGGAAGAAAAACAATGGTTGCCTTCCGAAGGTGCCCTGACTGAGGATCGAACTTGCAACCTAGGTAGGTGCCCTGGTCATGAATCAAACCCACAATCTTTTGGTATATGGACGACGCCCCAACCAACTGAGCCACCTGGCTGTGGTGATTTATCTTTGTCCTAAAAACATTACGACACAGTAATGTAGTCGTAACAACACGGGCTGGCACCGAGCAGAACCGTGCACATGCACTAGCACATGGGAAGCTCACAACAGCCCATGCACGTGTCATCACTGTTTCCATCTCCGGAGGAGTCACTGAGGCGGCCTTGTACAGAAGCTCCGCCCAGAGCTGTCCTTCGACTGAGCCCTCAACTGGAAGCCTGGCGTGGCGTGAGGGTCGCTGGGGTTAGGAACTTCCATTTTGGAATCAGACAGACTGGGGTTTGAATCCCAGCTCTGCTACTTACTAGCAAGTATAACCTGGCAAGTCCCTTGACATCACAGAGCCTTCGTCTTCCCATCTGTCAAATGGGATGAGAAAACCCTTAGGTGGATAAGCCTCCCATGCGTGCAATGTGTTTAGAAAGGGGCCAGCCACACACTAGATGCCTCCACAACGTGGTGTCCAGGTCCAGGAGAACCTGGTGCAGCTCCGGCCACAGGTGGCAGCCACTGGAGCACCACCAAGAAAGACCTCAGCCTCTGCTTTTGTCCCCAGGTGCCCCGTCTCCCGGTGTCGTGAGCGGAACCGCCAGCACTGCAGGTACCTCGTGTTCTCCGGCCCTTCCCGCCTCACGTCCTCTCCGTCCTCTTCTCCCCTCGGTGCACGTCCCCTCCTCCCCTAGTGGGCAGGCCCTGGGCAGGAAGCGGGTCACTGAGAGGAAGCAGATCCAGGAGCAGCTCTGGGAATGCCACAGTCCGGCAGGGGACCAGTCCCGTAATAGCAGGAATTTCCTGAATGCCTACTGCGTGCCAGGCACTGCTCCAGGCACTGAGGCGGTGAGGGCGGACAGCAGGGCCCTGCACTGCCCTCAGTGTGGGGCGCAGCGAGTCAAAGGCAGCGGGTACTTTGGAAAGACGGAAGGCTGATGCCTTAGAAGGTTAGCCGCATGGCCACAATGCCCGGCACGGCTCGGAGCGCACGTCCTCACGCTCGAGCGAGGTCCAGAGGCGGGCAGTCCAGGCTCCAGGCAACACCACCGAATCATCACGAATCCAGGCTCCCTGCCCTCCCCCGTCCTCCGTCTGCAGGGCAGGGCCCATCTTCATGGTCCATCCGGGCAGCGGGGTGCAGGGAACCTAGAAGTCCCTGAGGGTGGAGGGACGTTCCTGGTGGGCAAGAGCACAGAGGAGCATGTGGGAAGTCACAGGGACCAGGCCTAGGCTGACATTTCTGACTTCTACCCACATGCCACTGTCCAGAGGCAGTCACGGGTCCCACTCCCTGCAGAGGGGCTGGGAAAAGTGCCGCCCAGTGTGCCCAGAGGAACACGAGAAAGTTTGGTGGTCAGATAGCTCTGCCTGGGCCACAGGAGCCCTTTGCCGCGCCCAGGAGCTGTGACCCACACCAGATCCCAAGGACACTCTGCCCGGGTCCTTCCTGTGCAGCCAAGAGCAGGCAGCTCACGCTGGCTGCTGAGTTCCAAGGCCCAGCCCCTGGCAGTCACCTCCTCCCCTTGCAGGGTTCCTGGTGTCCTGTCCTGTGCTGCTTCTGCCTCTGCTCCTGGCTCGGCTGTTCTGAGCTCGGCCGGGCCCTGGCCCCTGGCGATGGCTCAGCTCCAATGGACCTCTCCCCAGTGCACAGACGTCCTGGTGTTGCTGGACTCCTGCTGGGCTCGGTGTGGCCGAGGGGCGAGCGTGCCGTCTGCTGCCCCCAGAGCCTGCCTGCCCCTCCTCTCCCGCTGGGGCTCTGCAGCCTGGCCTGGGCCGACTCGCACTCTCAGCAGTTCCTTGAAAGCAAATTTGCTGGGTCCTCTGTGGCTCTCGCCTTTGCCCAAAGTGTCACCTTTGTAACTCCAGGGAGAGGGGCTGTGGCACTGGGGGGAGGGGAGGGGGGGCCTCCTAAAGGAGGCACCTCCCACGGCCCTACCGCTGATCGGAAGGCTGGTGATTTGAACAGACTGACCCTTGCTTTCACTCGTCTCCTGACCTATTTCCATCCTGGGGTCAACAATCGCCATGGGAACGTGTTGTAAAGGGGCCAATTTCAGAGACCCAACTCCAGGACACACTGGTCCCCATTCCCCCCCTTTCCATACACGCTGCAGACCTGCTCTGATGTGCCTGGAACCGCAGACTCCTGCCTGGGGATGGGCTCAGGGGGACCTGCCTGGTTTGGGTGCAGAGTCATCGTCCCAGAGCACAGCACCAGCTGTCCCCAGTGGTGACCCCCCCAAAGTCCCAGAGCACAGCACCAGCTTCCACAGTGGTGAATCCCCCCAAAGCCCCAGAGCACAGCACCAGCTTCCACAGTGGTGACCCCCCAAAGCCCCAGAGCACAGCACCAGCTTCCACAGTGGTGACCCCCCCAAAGCCCCAGAGCACAGCACCAGCTTCCACAGTGGTGACCCCCCAAAGTCCCAGAGCACATCACCAGCTTCCACAGTGGTGACCCCCCCAAAGCCCCAGAGCACATCACCAGCTTCGACAGTGGTGACCCCCCAAAGTCCCAAGCACAGCACCAGCTTCCACAGTGGTGACCCCCCAAAGTCCCAGAGCACAGCACCAGCTTCCACAGTGGTGATCCTCCCCAAAGCCCCAGAGCACAGCACCAGCTTCCACAGTGGTGACCCCCACCCAAAGTCCCAGAGCACATCACCAGCTTCCACAGTGGTGATCCCCCCAAATCCCAGAGCACACCACCAGCTTCCACAGTGGTGACCCCCCACGAAGCCCCAGAGCACACCACCAGCTTCCACAGTGGTGATCCCCCCCAAATTCCCAGAGCACAGCACCAGCTTCCACAGTGGTGATCTCCCCCAAAATCCCAGAGCACAGCACCAGCTTCCACAGTGGTGACCCCCCACGAAGCCCCAGAGCACAGCACCAGCTTCCACAGTGGTGATCCCCCCAAATCCCAGAGCACAGCACCAGCTTCCACAGTGGTGACCCCCCACGAAGCCCCAGAGCACACCACCAGCTTCCACAGTGGTGACCCCCCCCAAAGTCCCAGAGCACAGCACCAGCTTCCACAGAGGTGATCCCCCCCAAAGTCCCAGAGCACAGCACCAGCTTTCACAGTGGTGATCCCCCCAAAGTCCCAGAGCACAGCACCAGCTGTCCCCAGTGGTGACCCCCCAAAGTCCCAGAGCACAGCACCAGCTTCCACAGTGGTGATCCCCCCCAAAGTCCCAGAGCACAGCACCAGCTTCCACAGTGGTGATCCCCCCAAAGTCCCAGAGCACAGCACCAGCTTCCACAGTGGTGACCCCCCCAAAGTCCCAGAGCACAGCACCAGCTTCCACAGTGGTGATCCCCCCCAAAGTCCCAGAGCACAGCACCAGCTTCCACAGTGGTGACCCCCCCAAAGTCCCAGAGCACAGCACCAGCTTCCACAGTGGTGACCCCCCCAAAGTCCCAGAGCACAGCACCAGCTTCCACAGTGGTGATCCCCCCCAAAGTCCCAGAGCACAGCACCAGCTTCCACAGTGGTGATCCCCCCCAAAGTCCCAGAGCACAGCACCAGCTTCCACAGTGGTGACCCCCCACGAAGCCCCAGAGCACAGCACCAGCTTCCACAGTGGTGACCCCCCACGAAGCCCCAGAGCACACCACCAGCTTCCACAGTGGTGATCCCCCCAAAGTCCCAGAGCACACCACCAGCTTCCACAGTGGTGACCCCCCCAAAGTCCTAGAGCACAGCACCAGCTTCCACAGTGGTGACCCCCCATGAAGCCCCAGAGCACAGTACCAGCTTCCACAGTGGTGACCCCCCACGAAGCCCCAGAGCACAGCACCAGCTTCCACAGTGGTGACCCCCCACGAAGCCCCAGAGCACACCACCAGCTTCCACAGTGGTGACCCCCCACGAAGCCCCAGAGCACACCACCAGCTTCCACAGTGGTGATCCCCCCAAAGTCCCAGAGCACAGCACCAGCTTCCACAGTGGTGATCCCCCCACGAAGCCCCAGAAGCGAATGATACATCGATTCTGCCAGGGGACGTAGCAACACAGCCTTTCCGGAAGCCTCTATGCAGCTGTCCCCAAGCCCTCACAAAGCACCCTTTTCCCACCGCTGTCTGTGGGCCCCTCCTAGTTGGTCAGGGAAAATGTCCAGGCCAGGGCCAGACCAGGGGTGGGCCGGGTGAGGGAGGAGGCTGTCCAGCAAGCAGCCGCCCTTGTTCAGAGAAGTGTGGTTCCGAGAACAGAAACCCTCCCAATGAACTCAGACAGGGAATAATCACAAAGGCGCAGGACAGGAGACACCCCTGCTGCACCAGGCAGCACCCCCGAAGCCCAGCGTTGCCTCGTCTCTCCAGCTGTCACTGTTCCTGAAGCCACACCTTCAGGGCTGCCCCTCTCTGCCTCCTTCACTCCCCGAAACTGGCGTTCCTGTTCATCTGCCAGCACTTGGTCAGAGATGGGCGTTGAGGTTCACAGTGCTGTCCAGTTCAGGGACCACAGGGGCCACTGGCGTCTTGGCAGCCCACATCCAAACTGCACCTGGGGGTCTCATTACCTGCTTGAGTCCAGGTGTTTCCCCTGGGCCAGCTGTGTGAGGCCAGGCACCTGGGCTCATCTCACACAAATGTAGCCAATGGTCAGACCGGAGGGCAGGCAGCCCCAAAGGCCATGATGAGAGCGGCTTCTTTAAGATAGAGAGGGTCCATCAACAGTAATCTGCTGAGCAACTCATTTTATCCCAGGTCCAAGGACTCCGGTAACATGATAAAGCACAGTCCCTGCCCTGAGAGGTTCAGATCTGGTGGGTCACGGACGCAGACTCCCAGCAGATCAATCAGACACACAGACCCACTGACCTCCAGACACAGGACCTGTGCACCAGCACGAAGACGAGCACTATGACAGACACGCAGTCACCCTCGCGTGCCCGTCTTCCCCCCAGCCCTTCGCCGGGCCCCGCGAGCCCGTCGTGGGTGACAGCCAGCCTCTCTGACCTGTCTGCGCCCCAGGGTTGCTCTGAGTGTGCTGTGGGCATCGTGGGGTCCAACCTCACATTAGATACCCAGGGAGATACTGTTACCATTTCCAGTTCAGAAACGAGCAAACCAAGACTTAGAGAGGTTGATTATTCACCCAAGGGCCGGATCTAGGGCTTAAACCCAGGTCGCCTGAATTTGGAGCACAGGCGTTTAACTGGACACTGTACTCTGCCTCTGTCTATGCACAACACACAGACAGACACACATATATTCACAGATGTACCACCATACGTGCACACACCCACTAGTACCTAGGTACATGGGAACACATACATGTGCCCTGACATGGACAGACAACGCTGAGGCCCTTACCCATACACAGGTGCTGACATTCATGGACACATATGATAACATGCACACTGACATGCATACATACCTTAGTGCAGGAAAAACACAGGGACACTCATATCCAATGCCACACACACACACACACACACACACACACACAAACACACACTCGTGGATACATAACCATGGGCATACACACCTGTAAGACACAGGGCCTGGATTTGACTCCCCAGGCCCAGCCTTCAGCCGCGGTTCCTCTCCCGTTAGCTGTCCTCTTCTCAGCCCCCATTTCTGCCTGCTGAGCCCTGGGACAGGAAGTCAAACCAGGGGTCACAGAGGAAATGGGCCCTGGACCCAGACTCTGGAGCTTCTAGAGTAGAGGATGTTGCAGCCTTGAGACAGAACCTGACCCCCATTCAGGAAAAGCAGCGTCTCGGCCGCGGGACCACGGGGAATCGGCCTGCGGAGGGGGCAGAGGCAGCCCTGCTTGGCCTGGGAACCGGGAGTGAGCGTGAGGCCCTGCAGGCCGAGACAGACACCGCTGCATGAAGCAAAGGCGGGGACCCAGCCCAGCCTGGGAAGAGGGAGGGCTTTTGTCCCTTTATTTTCCACTGGGGTCCCCAAAAGAGAAGTGGCCGTTCTTCACTGTCTACGGGATGCTATAAGAATGCTGCAGCCAGCTGGGCCAGAGAAGGCAGGGAGAGCTGGTCCCCGAAAGCTGGTCACCTGCAGGAAATGTAACATGGGACCTAAAAGAACAAATGCCAGCCAGCCAGCTAATCCCACGATCTCTCCTCAGCTGGTCCTCCTTCTCCAACCTCTTGCTCATATGAAGGGCCAGAGATCATCCTGCTGTCTTCTTCATCACAGGAGGTTCTCCCGTGTAAAACTACTGAATCTACCCACTTCCTTTGACCCCACTGACAGACGACTGTCCTCTCTTACCCCAACCCCTATAATAGCTTTCAACTGGTCTTTCTCAGTCTCCTTCTCTGTCAGTTCTCTACTGTGTAGCTAGTGAGCATTTAAAGTAAACTCACTTTCCCTTTAAATGCCCCCAGCAGCGCCCTCTATGGGAGGATGTCGCTTTGCCAGCTGATGGACAATGTCCTCCACCGTCTGAGCCCTGCCTGTCTCTTCTGCCTTCTACTTTACACGTATCACACTGTTAGACCTTGGTCCTTGAGTTTGGCTAAGGAAGAACCCAGAGCCAAAAACTGGCACAAGAAGTTTATTTAGAAAGTCACAGGAGTAGAAGAAGTGACCTGTAGAAGATATGGGCCCAGGAAA